AATGCAAAAATAAAGTGCGAAATTTAAAAGCTACACTATTACATGGCTTCGGGGAGAGGGAGTTACAAACCAAAACGGGGAATAAAAGTAAAGTCCTAAATTTAACCGCTATTACATCCTTTTGCAGTTACATCAATATGAAAGAATAAAAGTACAAAATTTAAAATAAACGCGCGAATATGGAAGGCGAAGTAAAAACCCTAAAACTTCTAAACACTTAGAATATTTTTGTTTTTTTTTAAAGAAAATACTTAAATTAAAATAAATCTAATCTTAATTAAAATAAAAATAAGAAGTGATTATTAATTGAAATTAAATCTAATCAAGAAAGAAATCTAATTCTAATATTTTTGGTATTTTTATTTGGGAAAAAGATTTGAAGTGATTAAACCTAGTTCTAATTGATTAATAAGTCAAAATAATTACATTAATTAATTTGCAAAAAAATAAAATTTAATTAGAAAAAAACCTAAGTCTATTTTTTGTAATTTTATTATTAAAATAAAAATTAGTTTTTATTTTTAAAAGTATATAAAAAAAGAAAACAATCAAATAAAGAAAATAGAAATGCAATGGGCCTGGTGTGCAGCTGAATGGGGGGTGCTGAAGATAAAACCCTTAGGACCAAAAACAAAAGAAATAGACGCTGCAAAAAGAAATCAGGGGGTGAGATAAAAAACGTTAGGCCCAAAATAAGACCTCTCCAATGCCCTGCGTGTGATCCAGTGACGTTGCTCCCTTGAAGATTTATCATGCACACCTGGATCTGGATCGTTTGATATGGCGCTGATGAGATCCAATGGTAATGATAGGCCGGCCAATGCATGGTGCACGCGCTTAACCATGGAACACTGGGTCTGCAAGCAGAAATTCGAAAAATAATAGGCAAGAGGCAGGGATCGAACCCCTGGCCTTGCCCATAGCAACAAATTTACACACGCTGCATCTACCCCTGGGCCATTTAATTCAACTGTTAATATAATAAAACAAAAATAATATAATGAAAATATGAACGAAATCCCAGTAAGCAAAATGTGCGCGTTGTAACATTTAAACGGGTCAATTAAATTGTGAGATTTTGCTACGCAAACTCCCACCAGAGTCAACAAAGGTCAAAGACACCAGAGCAAATCTCCGATCGTCTTCTCTGACTATACCAAAATGGAACCTGCATTTTTACGAGTTTTAAATCCAGAAAAATGGCTTATTCCACACAAAATTAACTCCTGAATTCGAATATGGTCTTGGTTTCAACAGATCGTGGCCGTATCGTCTGGTTCAAATCAAAATACGGATTATGTCCTAAACATGGCAAATCCTTATTTTTTTCACCCAACCTCTCATGTAAAATGTTAGAACAAATCAAAAGGATGATATGAACAAGAATATATGCATTAGATTCATTTAAATCGCATGTATTAAGAGATTCAAATGTGAGAGTTTTACCAAAATGAGGTGATTCGGTTGGCCGATTTCAGGGTGTTTCAGGCGTGGATATGGATTGAAATGAACTCCTGGGAGTCTTAGGAGTACAATGCAAGGTTTGGTTCTGATGGACACGGACTGGAAACGGACTTTTGAGCTTTGACCACTTTTGATAATTTTTTGATTTTTTTTAGAGTTTCTCTAAGTGGTTTCTGCGTGTCTTTTGCTTGAAATATCCTTCTGTATTTATAGAGGAGTGGGATGGTTGACAAACATGGCAAGAAATCAGCCATTAACCATGGTTTTGAATGCAAAATCACAAATTGAAAATATGCCATTTTTGATGATTTTTTTGCCATTCTTGAAATGTAATGAACCTGGTCCTTTTTCCATGTACCTTGCACGAGATATAGGCTTCTCAATGGATCAAACTAAGCCCAAATGCTATAGCCCACTAATTCTTGCATTTTATCTTCATTTATTTAATTTTAAATTAAATAAAACTCAAAATAAATACAAGTAAAATCAAGACCATGCAAAAATGTACTTAGATGTCCTTTAAGATATTATGGACATGCTTGAAGTTCAAAAAGTAGGCCCATTAGTCTAAAAATGCAATTTTGCTCAATGTGTACTTTTTGAAATTTCTCAAAATTCCCCAACTTGTGCATCTCATATCTTGCTCAATTTTTATCCTTTGAAGATAATTTTGGATGTTTTGGAAATCCAAAGACGTCCTCTACCATATCTATATTGACCATTTTTGCTTTGAAGACATTATCTTGATGTGAGTTGTCTTGATAAAAAGTGCCTTTTGTTGACTTTCTGAAAATGACATGTAATGTATGAGGTCATATCTTTCAAATGAATCATTTTTTGGATTTGAGGATAAAAGAATAGTTGTAGATAATTGAATTTTCTTCATAATGAGATTTGGTTGGGGCAAAATTGATGAAACATGTGAAAGTTATGCTTGGTCAAAGTTCAGTTGACTTTTCCTAGTAAATCCTAATTTAGCAATTTTTTATTCTTGATGATTTGAGAGCATTCCTTGAGGAATCATGATCAAACCTTGAAAAAATGACGAATATCACTTTAAAATGTTGATGTTGACCAAAAATTTTAAATTTTGACTGTATATTGACCACAGTTGACTTTTGACCTAATACAATTGATTTTTAGTCATCTGATCAATTAACTGAGCAAACTTGTGATGCAAGGCATGGAACTTGGCATGAGAATTATTGAGGACATATTAGGAGTCATGGAAATAACTTGAGGTCTTTGAAACCCAAACTTTTTTGTGAAGAGTGAAACCCTAGTTGGAAATCCATTGCTTAGGAGTAGAATTTGTCTGGTCAATACTTGGTCAACCTCAAGCATTTGAGGATCTCCATAAGTATGTTTTAAATAAAATGAAAGGGAAAATTTTGGGGTACAACATCAAGGTTAGATGTTCTATTCTGATACTTTAGGATTCTCTTAACATCTGTTAAGTGAGTTTCCCTTGGATCTGGTTGAAAATGAGCATATAGACATACACTGAATAATATATTTGGACGAGAGAAAGTTAGATAAAGAAAAGATCCTATCATACCTCGATAGAGCTTCTGACATACCTTAGCACTTACCTCCTCCTTTTCAATAATATGTGTAGGATGCATAAGAGTCTTAGTTGGCTTGCTTTCTGTGATGTCAAATTTTTTCAGAAGTTCTTTCGTGTATTTGCTCTGATGAATGTATGTAGCTTCTAGAGTTTGATTGATTTGTATTCTCAGGAAGTATTTCAGTTCTTGCATCAGACTCATTTCAAATTCAGTCTGCATTAGCTCAGAGAACTCTTGACAAATTTTCAGATTAGCATACCCAAAAATGACATCATCAACATAGATTTGACATATCATGAGATCATTTACGAAGTTTTTTACAGAAAAGTGTAGTATCCACCTTGCCTCTAGAAAACCAATTTTCTAAAAGAAAATAACTTAATCTTTCATACCATGCTCTGGGAGCATACTTCAGACCATATAAAGATTTTTTAAGTTTGAAAGTGTGTTCTGGAAACTTAGTATTTTCAAATCCTGGAGGTTGGCGCACATATACTTCTTCAGAAATGTTGCCATTTAAAAACACACTTTTGACACCCATTTGATATAAAACAATATCATTATTAATAGCAAATGAAATTAGAAGACGAATATATTTTAACCTGGCGACTGAAGCAATTGTTCATTATAGTAAATACCTTTTTGCTGACTATAGACTTATGCAACCAGTCGTGATTTATTTCTGACGACTTCTCCTTTTTCATTCAACTTGTTTCTGTAAACCTACTCAGTCCCAATAACATGAGTTCCTTTGGGTTTAGGTACTAGATCCTAAACATCATTTTTGGAGTATTGTAACCCAAAATTTTCTCTCCTAATTTCACTTTTATCTGGCTTAGGCTTTTGCATTCATCTACATATATTCCATTAGGTCATTAACATAACATTTCATTCAATAAAGCATCTGAGGTTCAAAACATCAACTAATTGTGTAAGCAGGGTTTTCACAATGCTTTGAAGTGTATATATATATATATATATATATATATATATAAGACTAATTCATCTCTCTATATTTGTAAAAGGATTAGGTTTCCAACCATTACGCTCAGGGTTTCAACAAGATTAGTTGTGAATTCACATACAACGACTTCCTTTTAGTTTTAGTTCGAGCAATTTTTCTCCATATACGCGTGATTATTAGAGGAAACTTTAGGGTTGGTCATATTATTATCACGGGCATCTTTCTTTCAAACACTTGAGTCTTAGTCATTAATTGATGTGCAAGTTAAGTACAAGATGTGGCAAATACATGACACGTTAAGTTTCACTATATGGATTAGGGTTCTCACCATTAATTGAAGCTTGAATTAGTAGGCTATTACCACCATTGGAAGACATGATTGTTTGATTACTTAAATTACAAGTCGTTGACTTTGGGCTTTAATGTGATTTACGCATACAAGAGGAGATTGGGATAGTGAATTCAACTTGGAAAATATATCAAGACTTTGAGTTTTTGACCAAAATCTCTAAAAACTTTATGGTTGTTTCTCTTATCATATTTCATTCAAGTTGCAAATTGAAAGGGATATGTAAGAATTTAAAATTGAATTCAAGCAAGTGGAGGGAAACATTCATCTTCGTCCAAATTCAAGAATTTCTCATTGCAAAATGTACAAATGCATCAAGTTCAATACCCAAAGTCACCTTTGCCATCACAATGGTCATTCAAGTTCATGTATAGAAAACCATTACAAGTTTAGACAAGTATATCATGACTGTTACATTGCCAAGTTTCCAAGTCCAATATTACAATTCCAAAATTATCATTACACACATAAAAAATTACATAATATTACATTCAAAATACTTTCTAAAACCTAATTCTAAACCTCTTTTGCCTTCATGATCTTAACATTTTTGTCCATGACTAAGCCTCAAATTTGCCGCCCTGTTTAATGCTTCAATACAGAACATCCAACTCACTTCCAAACTTCTTGCCAAACACCAAAAAAGACTTGCGCATCAGTTTTCCATTTCAAAGTGCTTGCTCCATGAATTTTTGTTGCGACCATGTACTAACCTGCATAAAAAAACGACAAAGAAGAACGAATACAAAGTGTAGCCTTGATTCAGAATAAAGAAAATTAGAAAAATCATTAAGTCAAAAAGGCTTGAAATCGTGCCACTCTTTTGAAGAAAATCAGGAAAAGAAAAAGTCCAAATCCAGTTCAGAAAATACAGAAGGAAAATTTCACTAGCTACCATTCGAAAAAGAGAGAAAATCTGGGAGATAAACTTAGAAACCGTGAAACTCAAATAACAACAAATCAAATTGTACCAGTCCAGCCAAATAAATCAGATGGATTTGTCAAAAGAGAAAACAATAACTAACTCAGAATAAAAATCCAGCTCAACAAAGTGCATTCGATCTCAGGTTCTTATTTAATAACATAATTTCACAACCAAAGGCTCAGATCAATTGCTCGCTTTCAGATCTAATAGATAAAATAGAAAATTTACCTTTCACGATTCATTCTTCACAATCTGCAGAAGAATAAAAGAAAACATTCAAAATGATCAATTCAAATATTATTTCTCCGCTTACAACACGTACAAATATTGAACCGTCACATTCTTGACCTAATTAACAAAACATGTGCGTTGCTTCTCTTTTTACATTCTGATTGTTCCAATTTGGTAATAGAAAACATGATAAATCAAGTATAATTAATGAGAAAATTGGGAATTGAAAGATGCTGAATTGGGATTTGTTTGGGTTGTTGGATCAACGAAAGGGAAATTAGACCGAGTTACCCCATGCTTTGGCCCATTGAGTTTTTGGTAATCTGAGGTGCTCACAAAAAAGGTTGTTTGTGGACTAATTGGCTGGGCCTCTGCGCCACTAGTGCTTTCTCCTGCTTGCACCCACATGGCTTATTTTGTTGCATTTTGTATATTTTTTAATTGTTTCGATTTTATTTTTCCATTTCTTCACATGATAAAAAAAATTACAAAATCAATATGAATTTGTTAGATTTTTTTATTTGATTTTGGGAATTAATTCATTATTATCCGATTATTTGAGATTTGTGATTCACCTTTGCTTGTCGAGATTTGAGTCTTATGCATGTTTATATGCAGATATGCTTGAGTTTTCGATTGTGATTTACTTTCACATTGATGATGCTTCGCGCTTATTACGAGCATTTGATTTCTGACTCTTTTATGTTGTTTGGTAAAGCTTGCTCGAAGTTTTTCGTGTTTCTCTATTTTGCTTGCTTTTCTACGAACTCTTGTTCGTTTGGTATCATTCTGCTTCCAGTTTATCTTTCCGCATTTTATCGCTTTCTAGATATCATGAAAAGTAGGAAATACAGAGCGTGCGCTCGAAGTCGCTGTTTAAAGACCTGTAGTAGACCTTCGTTCTCTCACATTCATTCAATTTCTCTCTCGAAGAAGTAACTTCTCTGTCGCACGCATTTCCTCTTCTTCCTTATACTTATCAAATTTCTTTAGGGTTTTGGGTGATTGGTTTGTGGTTTGTTCCTTATATTGATTTGGGTTTAATTTTTTAGGGTTTTAGGTGATTCTTTTGTGGTTTGTTACTGGAAATGAATTTAGGGTTTTAGGTGATTGGTTTTTTTATTTTGTGTTTTTTAACCTGTTCTTGAAAGACATTATCTTGGAAAAAGTTTTTTCATTCTGTTCTACCAACATATGTTCTTGTGTGATTCATACTCTAGTTGTGAATGAAATTAATTTACTCTAATAATGTAGTGGAACATGGATCCTCTACAATTGTAGCACGATATTGTAGTGTTATAGATGATCCAATTTCAATGTAATAATGCACTACAAATTAGGCTGATGATAAAGGCTTATTCAATTTTTTTCTCTAATCGATTTACATGTTCGATCGTATGCTTAACTTGACGATGAAGACACTAAATTATTATGACATGTGTTGGCTATAATAAATTAAACATATCGATTGATTCTATTAGTGTTGGTGCAAGGTAATGATGTGAGAGAAGAAGAATGAATAAAATGATAACAAGACTACTGTTTGTATATCAAATAGAGGAGATAGAATTGGGTTACAATATTGATAGTCTAGTATAGCATATTTATACTAAATATTAAAAATGCCAAAAGGCCCTATTAAAGAATAAGCATCGGGAATTGTAGATAATAACTAAATTATATTTCCAATATCATCCCTTAATTTAGATATTCTATCAGAAGCTAACAACACCAATTTCATCTCTCAAGTGAAGAAATTGATATGTTTTAACTGCCTTCGTCAAAAGATCTGCTAGCTGTTTCTAAGTGATGTAGTGCAGAACTTCTAACACTCCTTTATGCACTTGACTTCTGAGAAAATGATACTTCGTCTCAATGTGATTGCTTCTTCCATGTAGAACTGGATTCTTGGCAAGATCAATTGCAGATTTATTATCAATCATCAGCTTCAGAGGTTCCTCAACTTCAATCTTTAGATCATGTAGGAGATTCAGAAGCCAAACAGCTTGACAAGAAGCTACAACACATGCGATATACTCAGCTTCACATGTTGACAGAGCCACAACATGTTGTTTCTTGGAACTCCAGGAAATGGGACCTGCCAGAAATTTAAACAAGTATCCAGAAGTACTTCTCCTATCAACTCTGTCTCCACACCAGTCATAATCAGAATAACTTACTAATTATGATTCTATCTTTCTTTTAGAAGGAAACAACACTCCATATTTCAGGGTTCCCTTGATATATCTCAGAATTCTGACAGCAGCTTGGAAATGAGACCACTTTGGATTACTCATGAATCTACTAACCAGTCTAAATGCATAACAAATTCCAGGTATAGTATTGCATAAATACCTTAGAGAACCAACCAACTGTTTGAAGGTTGTAGTATCAACAGAATCACCATTAGAGTCAGAATCCAATTTTTAATTTGTTTCTGATGTTGTCACAACAACTTTGCAATTCTGCAGCTTAAATCTCTTCAGAAGTTATAGTTCGTACTTCAACTGATGTAGAATGATACCTTTCTTCGAGTACATAATCTCAATCCCTAGAAAATATGTCACTTTTCCTAGATTTTTCATCTTAAACTCATTCACTAGAACTTCTTTGAACTTCTTTATATCTTCTGGGCAGTTACCTGTTAGCAAAATGTCATCAACATAGAGACACACCCAAATCATATTGTTGTTAGAGTGTTTCACATAAACTCCATATTCCATTTCACATTTCTGAACTTCTGCTTCTTGAAAAACGAATCAATTTTCAGATTCCAAGCTCCGGGGCGCTTGCTTCAGTCCATACAGAGCTTTATTCAACCTGTATACCATCCCTTCCTGATTCTTTTTGACAAATCTAGGAGGTTGGGACACATAAACTTCTTCCTGTAATGGACCGTTCAGAAATGAAGACTTTACATCCTGATGCATTAAAGGCCAATTTCTATTTGCAGCTAAAGCAATCACGAGTCTGATTATTTCATGCCTAGCTACAGGCGCAAACACCTCAAAATAATCTAGCCCAGGTTTCTGAAGAAAACCTCTAGCTACTAGTCTAGCTTTGTGCTTTCCAATTGAACCATCTGGCTTAAGTTTCAACTTAAAAACCCATCTGACGCTGATGGCTTTTTTCTTATTTGGAAGTTTAGTCAATTTCCACGTTTTATTCCTTTCTATTGCCTCAAGTTCTTCTTTCATAGAATTTAGCCATTCTTTCTTCTTGAGAGCTTCTTCAATGCCCACTGGTTCAGAATCTACTAACATGGCACACTGAATGACTTCCCCTTCAGAGTCAACTTCGTTATCCTGCAACATGTCGAAATCTGCAAACCTGCTTGGTTTTTGTCTGATTCTCTGTGGTCTTTGAGCTTGTTCTGAAGCTGCACCAGAACTACTACCTTCAGAGTTACCACCTTCAGAGTTTTCCCTTCTAGAACTATGACCACCACCAGATTCTGGATCATCATCAGCATCTGGATCAAAATCAGATCCATTGTCAGAATTTTCTTCTGACTCATCTTTAGAATCTTCAGAATCAGATTCATCTTCTGAACATTCTAAAACATCTTCAGAGGCTAACTCTGGTGTTTGCACTACACCAAAATCTAATTGAGACTTGTTCCAATCCCATGTTTCAGACTTTTTCACCACAACGTCTCTGCTGACTTCAACTTTATTAATTTCTGGACAATAAAGCTTATACACACCTGTACTGTGGTACCCCACCAGCAACATTACTTTGCTTCTATCATCCAGTTTTTATCTTCTAGCTTCTGGAACATGTTTGTAATAGACAGAGTCAAACACCTTCAGATGACTGACACTCTGCTTATCTCCAGTCCATTTTTCTAAAGGAACAACTTCCTTCAGCTTCTTCGTTGGACACCTGTTCAGAATATATGCTGATGTGGCAACAACTTCTCCCCATAACTCGTGAGGTAGCCTTTTCTCTTTCAGCATGCTTCTAGTCATATCAAGCAAAGTTCTGTTTCTTCTTTTAGCAAGATCGTTGTGCTGAGGAGTATATGGAGCAGTAACCTCATGTTCTATTCCATTCTCCTCACATAACTTCTGAAACTCTTAGAGTTATACTCACCTCCACCATCAGTTCTTAGAATCTTTAACTTCTAACCACTATGCTTCTCAGCCTTCACTTTGAACTTCTAGAACTCAGTAAACACTTTATGCTTGAACTTGATGAGTGTTACCCGTGTCATTATTGTGAACTCATCCACAAAAGACACAAAACATTTATTTCCTCCAAGTGAAGGTACTGGAAATGGTCCACACACATCAGAATGTACTACTCCAAGAGCATGCTTCGCTCTGAGGGCTACTTCTGATGTAAATGGAAATCTGGGTTGCTTGACTTTCATGCATATTTCACATGACTTCTCAGGCTTCACAATCTTCAAAATACCATGTACAAGCTTCTTAGAACATAGATGCCCTAGGCTTCTATAGTTCAAATGCCCCAATCTCTTATGCCACAGCTTACTATCACCTTCAGCGCCTTCTGCACTAAGACACATTGCTTCAACTGTTTCTACATTCACCTTGAATGTTTTGTTGCTTCCTTGTTCATACTTCATAATCAATTTCTGATTGGAATCATACAACGTCAGGAGATTGTTTTTTATAACAACTGAGAAACCTTTCTCAATCAACTGACCTACGCTCATCAGATTGCTTCTAATACCAGGAACATACCAAACGTCTTTGATCAGAATGTCTTTCCCATTC